AATAAAAGACGAATTCAACGAAGAAAATTTTCTTTATCGACGAAATCATCTTCCGAGGCTAGCTGTGTACAGTCGTATTTATATTTACCAAAATATATATAGTGGACTATTATTGAGTAATAGGGTGGGGGTGACATGATTGATATAATTACTCAGAAGTGGCTGAGAATTATAAAAATAAAAGTTGTAAATTATTCAACAAATTATTCAAATGACTGTTCCTGAACTCGTTAGCACTAATTGTAGATCCCTGTCCAACAAAATGGATTATCTTCAATCCCTAATGTATTCTAATGTTTATCGAAATGCTGGCGTTTTAGCAATACAAGAGACTTGGCTGATAATCTAGTTTCAATAAATGGATATAAAGTTTTTCGCTTAGATAGAAAAATTTATAAGAAAAAATATTGAGGAAGGGTAGCCACATTTATAAACACAAGTTGGTCTACATCAAATCACGTTTGCTTCAATTATTCTCATGACAATATAGATTGCATAACCGTCAGGTGTCGCCCAGAGCACTTAAGTAAATATTCTTATATATACATAACAAATATTTACATAACACCCAATTGTAGCCCTTCTAATATAGTTATGTTTGCAGATGAATTTACTGAATTCGCTGCTCCTGTATTCGGAAACTCGTTGTCTATAGTCTGTGGTGATTTTAATTCATGTGATCACAGCTTTCTTACTTCACTTGGTCATGAGAATCTAGTCAGGTTTAATACACGTCTGGGCAAATCACTAGACCTAGTTTTCATAAATGACCGTGATGTATATGAAACCCGAAGGAGAGCTGCTTTGCTAAATTCTGACCACTGCATTATTCGTATTTTACCGAAAGTGTACGGCAAGTTACAACGAAAATTGTTTATTGATATAAGAATAAAACTTGTGCACTGTGGTAGAGTGAAATTCCATTATGGGTAAATTTTGTTTTGATACAGTCTCACACCGTTATACAGTAATGTTTACTGATGACGTTTCGAGCACAATTTATTGCTCATAATCATATCAAGGTAATCACACGACTTCCTAAATTCATTCATTGTTTAGTCATTTAACAAAGAAGATACATGAACGTTCATATTCCCATGACAACATTCTAGCATTAAGAAGCATGTTGCATGATACCAACTGGGAACTATTTACTGACGATAAGTTGGATGCTACTGTCTCTAATATAACCGATTATCTGAAGTTTTGTTTGGAAATTTGCTGTCCATATGAAACACTGTTTTCGAGATTTGACAGAATCTCTTCTTTGCAACTGAAAAAACTTAGAAGACAAAAAGAGAAGTTGTATAAGAATTGTGATAATACTGGTGTCCGTAAAATAAACACCCTTATAAAAATTGAAATAGAAAGGTTGAACAGACTATATAATGAAAAATTTTTATCATGTAAAAATCCTTCAAACATTTGGAAACTTTTCAATAAACTTACAAGTAAAAAACAAATGTGTGTTGATGCTTATTCTGATGTTAATGCTTTAAACAAATCATTTATCAAGAAACAAATTAATATGGTTGTACCTGATGTACCTAGTCAAGAAAATGGTCATTTTCCGGGTTTTAAAGAAAAGGATGTACTATTATGTTTGAAGTCATTAAATCCAACACACAGCCTTGGTCCAGATGGTGTACCAAGCATTCTTCTTCAAAAGTGTGCAGACATCTTGTGTCATCCTCTTACTCAAATCTTTAACGCATCATTTAACAGGGAAACGGTACCTGCTGACTGGAAAGAAATCAAGGTTGTACCTGTACAGAAATCATCTTCTGGAGCAGGTATAAAGTTTAGACCAGTCGCTATAACATCTCCTTTTTTGAAAACTATGGAGAAACTTCTTTTGAATATTCTTAAACCTTCTTTAAAAGCTTTTAGTGACCCTAAGCAGTTTGCTTATAAGTGTGGAAGAAGTACATTAGATGCAGCCATTGTACTACACCACAATATTGTTTCCTGCCTTGATAAGGGTGCTAAGTTCGTTCGAACAGCTTTTTTAGACTATACTGCAGCTTTCGACTCTGTTCCTAGGACACTTTTATTAGGAAAGATGATTTCAGCACAACAGAGTCCTGGGCAACTAGATGGCTGTCTTCTTATTTTAAGGATAGGAAACAGCATACTGTTTTGGCTGGAAAGCGCTCCACTTCTCAGCTAACTGGTGTGCCTCAAGGTGCAGTACTTTCTCCATTTCTTTTCTCTTTCTTTTGCATGACCTTCCGAACTCACCCAAAGTTAACTTCATTAAGTATGCTGATGATCTGACCGTTTCTGTCCCTGTAGTTTCCACATCGGATTGTTCCCATATGAATGGCTTCTTAGCTGAAGTTAAGGATTGGTCTGGCTCAAATGGTCTTAAACTAAATCCAACTAAATGTAACACTGTTGATTTCAGCTTGAGAAGTGAAAAAGACATGCATGGATTGATTCAATCTCATGATTGTTGTAATATTGATGGTACCATGATAGAGAGTAAGTCAAGTGTTTCTTATCTTGGCATTAGTTTCTCGTCAAACCTTTGCTGGTCGTCTCATATTCTTATAGTTTCTAAGAAAGTTTTCCGTCTGACTTATTACATAAAGAAGTTGAGACACTCAGGTATAACCCAATCTCTTATCATACAATTTATTAATTCATGTGTTTTGCCCATCATTCTTTATTGTTCTCCATTATTCTTCCCTGGGCTACTCAAGAAAGACCATATAATACTACGAAGAACATTGAGGGCTGTAAGTAGGGTCAGTGCTATCCCTTTGACTCAACTAAATGACACTGTTGTCAATAGGCATATGAATTCTTGTAAACACTTAGCTAAAGTTATCTTATCTGATAGTGAACATCCTCTTTATTCACAATTGTTTCCTTGTATCTCTTCGGGTAAGACCAGAAGAAATTTTATAAACATTTATGCTCGTACTACAAAATATAAAAATTCGACCGTTCCATATTTGGCACGAGTATTGTGTGAAGAGACAAATATCAGAAAAGAACTTTTACAACTTTTGAATCATAACTAAACTATAAAATGTAATGATGCATATTAATGCATGTGTTATTTGTTATATTATTTATTTATTATTCACTATGACCTAGCAATGGTGTGATTTTGTTGGGGTTTTATTTTTTCCTATTAACTATCAATATTTTAACATTTTATACATTTATATAATTATAAACAGAGCTAAACCATTGCAATATGTAAAAGAAACGCTGAAAATTCCATGCTGTAAATTGTTATTGTTGTGGAATAAAGTGATTATTATTATTCTAGGGACAATGGACCTGTATTTGATTGACCGAAGTATATCCAATCATCCTCTACTTCACTCACAGTTCTATGTGAAGTATTTTTTTGCTGTCATTTAAATCGGCATTATGACTTTTCTATTCATCTTTTTACTGCTGTCTTAAAATAAATAACAGATAATCGTCGGCATACTTCCTCTTTTTTGAACAGAGCATTGGTAGGTATTAGTCGTGTATTTTAACAGTGGGGATGAGTTTAATGAATGTCACTTGGAGGAAATGTTTTCAGAAACTGAAGGTTATTATTCCAACTATGAGAGAACCGTTTTCATACATTGTTTCCAGAAGATTTGTTGGCGAGTTTGCAAAACGTTGAAAATATGTGGCAAGCAGGATGTGCACTCTGAATTGGTGTTAGATTGTTGAAGCGTCCTGACGACTGCCTCCATCCATTATTATTAAACGATTGGCTGTCATCATAAATGATTGATCGATTTTTCAGTAAATCATTTAAGTTACATTCATTTATTTGCAATTGATAGTGTTCTCTGAGCTCCGCAATTAAACCAAGGAGCACAGAGAACACTATCGATTGCAAATCATCCACCTGAGTTACAAATATTTTCTATTATTACATTCATTTATGTATTTTCTAAATATTTACTGAATAACAGAAATATTAGCATCTTCAAATGAATATTTACTATTTCAATTCACTACAACGATACTTTGAAGCATATTCTACTACTTTGTGAACCAGTATTGAAAGTTATGCCAGTATAGACGCCACAGTATGCGTCGAAATAAAAAACCGGGATCAAATATCAGAATATGTGACAGCCGTAATTTTAATACAAGTTGTGATCTCTGAATTCACGGCATAATTTTTTGTATCATCTGACGATTATTCAAGTAGACTGAAGTAATCAGCATGAAGGCTGTTCTCAATGGAATAAATTCATTCAAGAGATACTAATACATGTGGTTGAAAAGTTTTCAACACAGAAATGAAACTATCTGTCAAATTTTCATTAAATTATACTCTTCAACTGCAGTCCCGAATATCTGAGAAGACACTAGTTCCCTTACTACTAAGTGCCAGCAATCAGGAAACGCAAACAAGATCTATTTGTTTGGTTACTGGATTTCATCATGAGCTGACATTGGTTAGAGAACCATTGGAAAACCTGGGAGTACTGGACAATGGTTCTCTATCCAATGTCAGCTCATGATGAAATCCTGTAAACAACCAACCAAATCCCTACAAACCAATACTTGAAGATCTATTTGTCAACTGCCACTTATAATCTAACGTCACTTCAAAAAGAAACATGAATTTATAAAAAGTGGTTCATTTAGTTGCAATGAAGTAGTTTACACAGCAATATAACAGTTTTGTTCTTTACAGGAGTTCATCATGAGCTGACATCGGTGAGAGAATCATTGGAAAGCCTGGGAGTACTTGACAGTTGTTTCATCCTCGTCCGGGAATATTTAGCACTACGCACCCATCCCACTGCTGGTAATCGAACACAGGAACTTCTTGTTACAAGACGAGTAAGTTCGTAGACCATTAAGCTACTGGGACTCAATCCGATAACCAGCCCATTAATTCCAAATTCTACCAATTCACTACGCATGAGGTCACTGCCATACACACTTCCAGATAGCCACAAATTGAAATTAAACAGATATCCACTGCTTCATATTTCTGATGATTGTCTCAACCGTCTTTCTAACAGTCATACAAGTGCATTATTATTATTATTACTAGTAGTAGTAGTAGTAGTAGTAGTAGTAGTAGTAGTAGTAGTAGTAGTAGTAGTAGTAGTAGTAGTAGTAGTAGTAGTAGTAGTAGTAGTAGTAGTAGTAGTAGTAGTAGTAGTAGTAGTAGTAGTAGTAGTAGTAGTAGTAGTAGTTAGTAGTAGTAGTAGTAGTAGTAGTAGTAGTAGTAGTAGTATGAGGAGGAGGAGCATTCACTGAAAACAAAAATATTGCTCCATAAAACTTCTAACTTAGCAAAATTTCCATAGACTAAAAGTAAATGCAACATTGGATTCCATCCTAGTTGTTGAATGGCCAAAAAGATCGCCTCCTAACCTGACGGTCCTAGGTTCAATCCTTGTTAGGGTAGTGGGAACACATCATCGAAGGCTTCTGAACGAGAACGAAGCAATCGTCCACTACTCTTTGATTTCCAATGGTCCTCTGACTCATATCATCCCGTGGTCAAAATTCAAAGTAAACTGATTGATTTTAGGTCTAGTTCTTGATAGAAATAAAATCAGTCATTAAACTTCTATCAAATACATTGCTGTCCATTATAAAAGGCGATTTGTACATTCCTAACTTTACTATCAGACAAAAAAAATAATATGTGGTGACAATGAGGGGGCCAACATACAAAAATGCTTATGCACATAAGTTCATTCTAAGTTCACTGATAAGTAGAAAATATTGATATTAGCATGATTAGGATTATCAATAGTAGAAATTGTAGGAAGCTACAGTGTCAACAAACGGACAGCTATGCATCATTCTTTCACAAAATAAACTAGGCATTACTCCATATGACTGAAAGTGAAATGAAAACTATACGGCCACAAAATCCACCTCATTTGGTAGGTCACCAGATTAGTGATGATCTTGAGGCCGATGGCTTGGATAATACCAAGACACAGATCGTTCGTTACCCATTACATTAGTAGAGTTCTACCAATCCATTTCTATTCCAGACGGTCTGATCATTGAGCACAGGATACTCAACTTATCCCCTAAATAATCTGTGGGTTAAAAATAAAACAGAAAAGTGTTTGAGCACAGTTTAGGTATTTAGTGTTGCTCATGGCCAGAAATTTTTATTTAAGCAAAAACATTGTCTACTAGTGTCCAATACATACTCTTCGATAATACTACAGTGAATTAAATTTCTTTTCACGAGTATCATTATAAAAATTTATGCTTAACAGGTGTCTGTTGTAAATAAGGGGAGAGAGAGAGAGAGAGACAGAGAGAAGGTGAGGAAAAGAGAGAAGAAATCAACTTATTTTTCAGAAGATGATCATGTTTGCCCTTATCTAATTCTAGAACATCAACACATTGAAGTTTGTACAACGAGATAATAACGTCTGTAAATTGTTTTTCTTCCTTTTTTGCAGATCAATCCATTGTTTGTTTATTATATATGGATAGATTTCAAGATGGCTAATTTTCACTATATGACCCAAAAATTCTTCTCGTTTAGATTCTTTTTATTTACCCCGTTTTTTTTTAAATTTCGCTTTTATCTCACACAACAGATGGGTACATTCAATAAATAAGTAAATAAATAAATCACCTGATAAAAAAAGTTAAGTTGCGAAGAGCAGGTTAGATGAACCAGTTAAGACTGTTTTTCCTTTCAGAGTTTGTCAACCCTAGTAACAATTATTATTTTACTTCGTTAGATTATAAGTCGGATTATTATTATACGTATGTAGCTATGTTGTGCAGCTTTACATTTACAGGTGTGTACAGCCCTAACACTTGATATTCAAAGTTTAATCTCTTTAATTTGCATTTTTTTCTGGAAAAAATCAACTGATCTCTCTCATCCCCTTCCTCTTTTTTATGTTGGATAAAATAAAGTGGATGCAGATTAAAATTGATTCGGTTCAGCTATTCCTTCGATGTATTGTTTCATTCTCGTCACTAGTTAAATCTAACAGGAAATAAATTGTCGTCTATACACTGCGTCAGAGTTCAGTGATTCCCCTCCATCTGTTGGTAAACATCTTTAAAACCACCACAGTCTTTTTCACTATGATAAATACTACCATCTCAGAATATTTACATTTTTGTTGAATCTTTGTGTAGATTTTTGTTTGCGTTTACAGATCTCTAGTCTTTGGAGAAAACACTCTGAACTGTCATCACTTTAAATATCACAACTTGATGAACTGTTTAATGATCATATCCTAAGTCTGTTTACTTTAATATTCGCTGGCGACCTGTTTGGATCATTGAGCTACGTGAATGTACAAGTTACATATCACAGGCATAATTTGACGTTAGGCAGTAAGAAAACTGCACCTTCATGAAATGTGAGATCTTTTGTTTCACGTGAGAAATGTCGATAACACATTGCTCTAAACGATTATAAATAAAATTTTACATAATGCATTAGACCTCACCTAATTTACTATCTCAGTAATCTTTTAGCCGCTCCCAAGCCCGATTAAGGACGGAGAGTTGGGCGAGGGGTTAGCAATCCTACCCAAAATAACCAATCAAACTGATACGGAAACTTCAGCACACAATAAAAAATTAAAACTACAAAAAATTATTTTAAAAAACTTATTCTTCCGTGGAATCGAAGAAACAAAATGATGCCGACTGCTGAAAAACTTCAGGAAGCCAATCAACCAGTCAAAGTGTCTTCTTTAGATAAAAGCGAAAATAAGGATAGGGAATTGCAATGTTCATATAATGTACGAAGCTGGAAGACTTTCCAGGTAGCCAGAGAAATGAGAAGATATGGTATAAAAGTACTGGAAATCTGTGAGGACAGATGGAATGTCACATTGCCAACTGGAGACTCAGTGATCTACTGTGGTCTCGTCACCCAGACGACACCCACGAGCACACTGAGACAGTGAGTGCCTATCATGATGTCACCAACAGCAAGCAAATCTCTAATGCAGTGGCGACCAATATCCTTCTGCAGTGTTGTAATGACAGCAAGATTTGACTTAAGGGAGGAGAGGAAGGGAGAAAGGAATGTTCGAATCACCCAGTGCTACGCACAACGCTACAAACGACTCAGGAGAAGAGGAGAGGGTGTTTGAATTGAGCACATGGGGAGTAAAACAAGTCTACCCACTACCATCAACAATGATATTCCTTAATGTGGTGGACTGGATGATGCCTGAGACTGTGTGTGGGAGCGAGAAGATAGGAACCCATCGGACTGGTGAGAGGACTCCAGGTGATTTGGATTTCGCCGACGACTTATGTCTAGCGTCACACAAATCGGAAGAAATAAACATGAAAACCAACAAGTTGTCAGGAGAAGCAGGAGGCGAAGACAGGATTTGAAGTGACGGTAGAGAAGACACAGGTGGTGAAGACCAACAGCGACAACCGACAACCAACAACACCAATCACTGTCGGTAGGAGGAATTTGAGTGATATCACTTCCTTCACTTATCCGGTCAGGCAGCATCGCTTCAGCCACTGACACGTAGTGCAGATGAAGATGTCAAAACGAGAATGGAGAAGGCGTGACAGACCTTCATCACTCTGAAATCAGTTTGGAAATCAATCAGCCGCACTCAGCATGAAAAGGAAATTCGGATTTTCAACACCAATGTTAAGTCACTCAGTTCTTCTACATGGGTCATAAACTCGGCCAGCGTGTCACGAGAGGCATTTCCATCTACTACTGCAAACTTTTGTCAACAGCTGCCTCCTTCACTGATTCCATACTGGGGATGAGATGGCTGGCTGGAAAGAATTAGCAACAAGACAATCTGGGAACGAACTAATCATGACCCATTGGTCACCAAGTATGCTGGAGGAGATGGAGATGGATTGGGCATACGCTGAGGAGACCGTTGTGTGACTTCGCGCACAATGCAGGTCATCGGTTGAGTGGGACCCAAATGGGAGACGGAGAGTTGGGCGTTGGTCTTGTGACAGCAGAAAGCAAGAGACGGTAACAAAGGTATATTTTCAATGAATGAAAGCGCTATATATATATATGTACGGTTTATATTATTTAACCAATCACTGAGCATGTGATTTTTGTTTATGCTAAACGGTATGAAATAGAATGTTCAAATATATAAGTAGTATTCTGTTGCTGATACAGTATTGAACTGTGGGAATGGTATTCTGACGTTAGCACGGACAAATATAGTGATTCTTACTGTAAGAATAATATTCATTTGGAAAAAATTGTTTGCATCACCTAACACAGTCTGAGAGTGACATGGAGGAAATAAGATTTTATGGACAATCGTTAGCCCAGCTGAAGACGACGTCAGAAATTAGAACGAAGTGGGGATATGTATTTTTATTTTATTATAGCTTAATTCTACACAGTATTTCGGTACAAGTATGCAATTTTCAGCATATGATATTGGTAGCCCAAATTTAGCAGGCCGACCATTTGTAACAGGTGTGCATCGGGCGGGGATCGAACCCGGACCGTGTGCATGGTCGGCGAGCGTCCTTTATAGCTTCTTTATTTTTTATTTACTATAGTAAATGAAAGCTTTGGGAAGCTCAATAAGTCTTAAGTTGCAAAGTTTATGTCTATTTGTTGTCATGACTATTGTTGTTGATATTAATGACGACATAGATGAACTTTAACATTATCCCTTTTATTAATTCAAGTGAAAGAGGATCAAAAGTCCCCTGCTTTTTTTTTTAGAAATTATCATAGTTTACATCTAATCTCTACATGACTGTGTCAGAATGGTATTGTTAGGCAATAAAAGGGATGGTGAAAATTAACAATAAATCATTGTACAAATAAGAAACTTTATATAAAATGCTGAATCACGATTACTGGATCAACTCCATCTACTTTTTCCTACTCCGACATGCGCAACACACACACACTTGTTGTCCATCTCGTTGACTGACTAGTTTTGACCTCTATCTTGTGAAGCAAAGATACATGTATATGTGTATGTGTGTGTGTACGTGTGCATTGAAGGTATTCTTTAAGAGACTAGACCAGTTCAACTGGTTATGCTGGTATTAGCATAACCTCACACAATTGCTATCATAATGTGATAACAAAAAAAGGAGTGAATTTGTTACTTGAATATGTTGATTACAAAGTTGTCTCTCTCTCCTGTTTTTGACCCTGTTGTTGTTGTCGTCGTCTTGATGGTAGTAGTTTATCCTGACATTAGGTAACATTATGGGATTACTGATTTTTCATTTTCCTAGTAGAAAGCCAGCACAGCAACAGAATTAGTTGTTTGACAATAAATTAATCTAACTATTTAATCAATGTAGTAACATACATTCCAGACACGTGCTTGCATGTACATACATACTATTGGGAAGACCAGGATGTATATTTTTGCCTTTGCTATTGTTTAATTGTGCCAGTATGCAGGCAAGAATATCTTCTATCTCTACACCTTTATCTATGTCAGCTTATTTCCTTATTCAAAAAAAAGTTAATTAATTAATAATTTATTAAAAGGCACACAGCCGTTACCAATCGCCGACACACATCTATACGCATACTACCTGTAGTTATTGTTTATCAGTTGAGTTTATTGTTGCTTTTCATTTCCTTTCTACTATTCTTCTCACAATGGTGAATTTTCCTTATTATTCACACACACACACACACACACACATCCAACTGAGTGATTCAGGTCGATGTAGTGTCTTTAAAAAAGAAAAGGAATAACAGGAACAAAATAATTTTATTATGAGATAAAAGTTTCATGACGTTAACAAGCTAACCGGGGAGATTCCATCAGCTGGTGAATCATCCCGATGCGCGTTATGCATTATATTTATATTTAACCTATTTTCTTTAAGTATTGGTTTTGTAGAGATTCGGTTTGATTGTATGGAGGATTTAATCATGAACTGACATCAGTTAGAGAACCATTGGAAAACCTGGGAGTACTGGACAGCTGTTTCGTCCTAGTTTGGGACTCCTCAGCAGTACGCACCCACCGGGATTCGAACCTAGGACCTTCTGGTTACAAGGCGAGTTCGTAGATCATTTATTTATTTATTTTCTTTAGTTTATCAAAAAAGTATTTGTAGAAGTAAGACCCAGAACGGAAACTGATTCGATAAAAATCAGGACACTTAGACAGTAATTTGGAGTTGTAACTGGATCATATAAATTACTGACTCAACCCTAATCTTCAAAAGAAAGGTTACTGAACAAAGAACATTCGCTTCGATAGCTCCTTCTTCATCAGGTTCTACAGTTATATATATACATATTAGTGAATAAATTAGTGTTATTCACAACATTAATGTTGTTTAAATAACATCGAATCAATAGTATCAATAGATGGTAGCATGAAGAGAAATTTGCATAGGAAAAACACATGAACAGGACAATATAAACATTTTCATAGCTTCGTTCCTCGACACGCTAAGTGTTCAAAAGATGTAACTGAAGATGAACTAAGGATTGCATATGATACCTTGATTGAAAATAGCTATCCAGACAAATTTATCAAGAAACACATGACAAAGAAAGCAAAAAAGGACTACTCATTATTCGTAAACAAGAAGCCTTTATATGTACGACTGCAATTCAAAGGCGATATACCAAGCGAAATTAAGAAAATCAATTCAAAGAACTTTAAATGCTGGAAAACTATAAGTCTTATTTTTAACATGACCACTGATGATTCCTTGATTGAAAGATGAAGTACCTAGGCTAGCCACTTCAAATTGTATCCACCAATTCAACTGCGCTTGTGGAGCCAGTTATATTGTCTGCTGCTCTAGGTACTTGATTTTTCGTGCTCAAGAACATCTCCGGCTATGGCTAAGTAAAGGTTTAATATTAGACCATCTGGTCCAAACCCGTCACAAAGTCAGCCAGTATTGAAGAATCCTTCTCTATCATCTACCAGCTACCAAATAAATTGCTAAAAACATCGAGACACCGCATGCTACAAACAGCAGAGGCTACCACGGTTTGCCTTAAATAACCAGTGCTTTATGTGCAAGAGAAACGAGTCTAGCCACTTCTACTGCGCTGGCTTTCAGTAGACTACAAATTCATGAATTTGTACTACTTTTTTTTTCGTAATTTCTCTGAAGTTCAGTTTATAGTTATGTTGTTGCTATTGAAGCGTAATCTATTCATATTATTCATTTGATGTTATTTAAGCAACATTAATGCTGTGAATAACACCAATTTATTGACCTGATGAAGAAGGGGTTATCGAAGAGAATATTCTTTGTTCAGTAACCATTCAACTCTGATCATTCAGTCTACTTCTACAATATTTTATTCATCTAATTGGCTAATTACTGATATTAATAATTAGAGGTTAATTTGATGGATAGTGCCTAGCAGTGGAATCCAGGATAACGTGCGTTTATTCCTGTTTGGGACTCGTCAATTGAATGTACCTGTATTCCACAGTGAGTGATGATGCTCCCACCGAGGCTCGAACCCAGTGCCTGTAGTTTCAAACGTCAAAGCATTATCCACTAGACGACTTGGGCGATGAGAGCTACCTCTTGTGCAATGGGTCATATTAATTATTTAAATGAATTTTAGTTTTTCCTGTCGATTGACTAGACAGAAGTGTTTGGCCTCAGGTTGACACGTCGGCTTCTTGTGAATGTGTGCTATGGATCCATTATTTTATATGTATTACTAATTGGTGCGCATAAACAATTTCGGACAAAATTACTATCCAAAAAGATAACAGTGTGTCACAGGTAATAATGAAGCATGAAATATTATCAGAATTCGGATTTATGATTGTATGCAAATACTCAATACAAACACACTCATAGACTGGAATTAATTTATTTTCCTTGTTCTATATACAAAGTCTGTAAAGCAGTAAAAATACACTTAATTTCCAAAAGTCCACGTAACAGTGAGCGAATGTTCTTCAATACTCCTAATTTAGACTAATACATTGTAATGCGTATGAAATTCCTTGAGATATTAAGCACACGCAAAATTGATACCCTAAAAGTTGTGTCTAGTATTTATTGTCTTTTTACCACTAATATTATAGACGAAGTTCACTTGTATATTCGTCACCTCAACCAATAATATTAACTTATAAACTGAAAAGCTTTGGTCACGATCGATGTGATTACCGTTGCACTCATCTTCCTTCAAAAAAAAGGTCAGCAGCTAATGTGGTGTCAGCCCAACACTTTTCCGGATAGTCTTAGAACCAAAATCAGCAACTTACTCTGCTCCTTCTATTTTTCAGTGTGATTTAAACTGACAGGAGACTGAGCTGTCTAGCCAGTGCAATGAATAAGGGATATTGACGTATAATTCATTCACATTACAAGTAGGCACTAACTATGCTGACGACTGCAGTGACATGATGATATGGTTAGCAGCTGTATTTAGTAGTTCAGTTGTTAGGAACACAGCCAGACTAATAATTCAAAAGCCACCGGTTCGAATCATACTGTGATCGTAATTTTCATATTAACTTTAATCATTACAGCCATTATATAAACAGTAACCGGTTAATCCAAGACTATTCCAGATAGTCCTAACAATAGATCACCAATAGGTCTCCAGTACCCAGTGTTTTGATTGGCTTATTTCCGATAGTGAACATTAGGTTTGCTAGTTATTACTTTTTTTTTCTAATTGAGTGACTGACACTCAGTGCTGTTACAAATTTTTAAAAGGAAATAATGATAAATGTTATTGATTTAATAAATAAACATAATAAATCACTGAGACTATTTACAGATCTGGAAAAACAGAGAAATTAACAAAAAGTAATGTGTGTATTTCTCCTTTTATGGTATTCTTTTGGTCATTTTCGTTATGTGTATTTTGCTCCTTCAGTCTGATGTTTACTCTCAAAGGAATAGAAAGATATAGTGGAATAGAGAGGAAGAAGGATGCACGGCTAAAAAATGGGATTACAAGTGAATATATGTGTAAATATTTACAATCGAAATTCCGTGGCATCCTTGTGTCTTTCTCTCCATCCATCTCCGACTTAGATCTACAATTTTTCATTATTACAACTTATAAAATAAATAAAATAAAGGTAATATTAGTTATTAATTACATTTCTTTGCTGTCTCTTAAGAAAAGCGATTGACAGTGTGATACAGTGCTGTCGAATTATATGAGATATAGTATGAGAATGATAAACAAAAGAAAATAAAAAGTAAAGTAAATTAGGAAAATTAAGAAATGAGCATTCACAATGCATATCTGTCTACATATACACACACAGGCACTAGTCACAGGTTAGGGTTAGTTATAAAAACAAAAAAAGAGTAGACATCGCTAATATGATGACGATGGTGATAGGGTTATGGTTATGATGATATGTACAACACGCAGTTGGCAAGATGGTTTATCTATTTATCTTTATAAATACACCATTCGATGATCTGTTTTGGACAGTTTTCCCACTGATTTGTATAGATTGCTGATATAGGAGTACGAATCATAGCTGAAGCTTGACTACGTACAGCAGTATGTGTAGGTGTTCGACGTACACGGAAGTCAAGTGTTGGACCATGTAGAGCCTAGAGATTAAGATGAAAAAATAATGGGGAATTAGAAAATTTGATGCAAACAAAAAGCAACTAAAATTTAATATGATTAACACAATCAACATTTTTTCTGATTTCATTTTCAATCAATCAACTTTTCTCTGATAGTAATAGCTGAAATTGTTTGGTATAAATATACTCGCGACAACAATAAAGACATCTATGCTTTATAACGCTAAGAGAGTTTAATGTGCTTGACGCATAAATTTATAGTGGGTGTATAAAACATCTTAGACCTACTTAACAATCTAACCTTCAATATCTCAGATACACTTTTGGTAGGGATTAACAGTAGAATACTGGAAGTGTACCTCGACTTATTTAGGACCTATCAGCTGAACAAACCATTATACTCCTTATTTTCGAAAGCATTAGACAACTAATTTCAGTTGGTTTGTTTAAAAACCAAATACGAAATATACGTTTCGCGTGAGTCGTACTGTCCATTCACCACAGTAAGCACACATGAGTGTGTTATAGTTGACAAGAAAAGCGTCGGTGGAACAGCAGTTATGACTCTCGCCGATCATACACATGCCCGGGGTTCGATCCCCTGCCGACGCATACCTGATATCTATCGTCAGCCTGCGAAATTCGGGCTACCGATATCTCGTGCTGAATATTCCATACCTGTACCAAAAAATACGGTGTGGAATCAAGCTGTAATCAAAAATTTCAAAAATCACTTACATTTTTAACAACTGGTGTAACACAATCACTGGAACTAGTGCTAGGTGAATTCGCTCTAGGCTTTTTAGCTAGGAATGCGGCAGTTAAGTTTACCTATAGAGAAAATTACAAAAGAAAAGAAGAAATTAATAAATATTGCTATTTAATATTATATTATTTTTAAAAATCTGAAATGTCAAAATTGTGTCTTCATTGCAATCATTCTACGATCTTAGATATTAAACTTCTGCTTCCAATATAGAGATACACTCAACCGTTATCGCTATCGAATTGGTCGACAAATCTATGTGGGAATTTGTAGACAATACACATTAGTTCCCACAGCTACACTTCAAGCAAACACAGCTAAGCACTACCATCGGTAAATATGAGTGTTTGAGGGAGATGAAGTATTCAAAGAAAGATTCATGAATCAAGTATTCAAGGTTTTAGAACTACCTTTTTTGAACTGATTGGGCTTTTTACTCTCGCTAATATTACACGTAATCTGTTCAACAAGAAATTTTAATTGGATTACACATTGATATACCAAACATAAACCATCATTATTTCGGTGGGACAGAGAGAAAAAACCTTTGAAATACAATTTCACTGCCGGAAACTTCTGACAATCAACATACATTTTCAGTAGTACTAGTTCATTTTTATAGCAGTTTTTCTATCATAGGATCCTTTTTTGCTTTCACTAAATTACATAGGGTTTTAATCTCCTCTTTTGTTGCTAAGTCAGTTTCAGTAAATACACACACATATATACAAAAGACATCATATATATATATTGATTTACTCACCCTAGGACTGTTTGGCTTTGTGTTCATTGTTGAATTGTCTAATTTTGACACGGATGATTCATTCAGTTTTTTGCCTTGTGAACGTGGACTTGGTGTCATAGTAACACAGTACTTAAGACTACAACACAAAGCAGGACTGTTTGATGTCTAGATTGAATGGATGAAAAGGAGGAGATGAAAAAACAAAAATGAAGGTTAAATGTCGATGTTACGTAACTTAGTGAGCACCGTTAGTAACAATAACTTCAATAATAACACCGGTAATAAAAATAACAAAAATTATACTAACTGAAATTTCCTAAGCCTATTAGACAAATAAAGAGACTCCCTGTGATATATCTGTCTGATGCAGTGTGAAACAAGATATTCACTGAGGTACGCAAGAACGAACAAATAGTAAGGATAAAATGAAATATACTTTCAGTTATTCGATTATAAAATATCGTCCTTCTCCTTCTCTTACACATTCCAATCAATGACTGGTTTTGATTAATGTCATAAGGCGGTATTAATTCATATCTTAGTTGTGTATTCATTTAGATAAATTATTTATCTGAAGGGTAATTAGTATCCTTTAAACCATTCAATTGTTGCCTAAAGTTTTCATGCCTTTTAAGGTACATCGAAACACGTGTAAAAGGATCAGCTTTGTCAAAGGTCATTTCAACCGAAGTAATAACTCATTTGTACACACGTCTCTTCTTAGATGATATTAACAGTAGAAAAAAAGGACATTAGTCTGAGTGCGATTACTGAGACAGTTATGATCAAGCAGATGGAAGATAGATGCATGAATAGATTCTGGGCAGGTAATTTTGATAGCTGTCTCCGTTTTGTTATGGTACTATAATTTATTCGGAAATGAGTAGATATTCAAACCTACATACAAACAATGACACACAAATGCACACATAAGTGAATTCATTCACTCTATCACATATGTCCTGATTATGGTAATGAACAACATAATATGTGAACTTTCACTTCACTGAGTACTAATCATTAAATAAGTATGTGTAAAGTACAAATTTCAGCTTCAGTTTAAAGGTGAATGTGAAATAAGTGTTTTTAATGCTATTTAAAGAAGTATAGCATGGAGCTTTGTGAAAAATGTAAACTGATTATCCTGACACCGATTAGGTCAAATAAATCGATAAGATTTTAAAGTCTAAATGTATTCACATTTTGTGATTTTCCATCATATGTGCATTATATACCTGCATATAGTACAGCTATGGGAAATAGTTTAGTGATTAGATTGGTAATGCTATGCATTGACATAGATTTTATAAAAGGCTAACATAACCAAAGTTAAGTTTAAGTCGACAGAGTTACTACAGTTGGGAAAACTGTCTAGAAAGTGAACATATCTTTTTCATTTTGGCTTATATAATTATAATATGCTCAGAAATGAAAATATCCTCTTCATCACACCGAATCCTGACTGAAAGACAACACTGTATATTACAAATGATGACTGGAACTCACTATAAATCCTAAGCAGCGTCTTAAAGACTATCATAAATTGTTGGAAATTTCCGAGATATAGGGAATGTCTATTAAAATTTTACTCCCATCACATAAACTACTCATTTATTTATTTTTATTTTTGATTACAGCTTGATTCAACACTGTATTTTTTGGTACATGTATGGAATTTTCAGCATGGATATCAGTAGCCCAAATTTTGCAGGCCCACCATAGATATCAATTGTGCGTCGGCAGGGCATCGAACCTCGGACCATGTGCATGGTCGGCGAGAGTCCTAACCACTGTACCACCGATCCATATAAGTATTGCAGTCTTTATATTTGCTATATTGATGATAAAATAGATCATATATCCTACGATGAAATCTACAATATTCAGAGTGGAAACCGTGATTAATCTTAAATTTCACGAAGTGTGTACTTCAATAAGATGCCCAATTTCATTTGATTAAAAAGAAACTTTCAAGAGTTGGTTTGTAAGGATTAGATTTGTTTTCACGAGCTTAACCACGGATTGATATCAGTTAGAGAAGCATTGAAAATGAGGGACTTCTACCGATCCATGGGCCATTGAATAGGGTTTCAGTGACTGAATGGTCCTGGGTTCGAACCCCAGTGGGTGAGTACTGCCAATGAGCCCCAAACTAGCATGAAACAGTTGTCTCGTACTCGAGTGCCGGTTTTCAATGGTTCTCTAACTTATATCAATCCGTGGTCAAACTCATAAAAAGTGACTAAAATAATTTTAATAAAAGGTCATTTTTTGGCAAGAAAAAATGACTTTCCAGCAGCCACTATCCTCATTATTTTGTCCATAATACATTTATATATTTTTTCTAATATTTGGCCTCTACCTCACAGCATACATGCCTACACGCAAAGACACACACACACATAAATATATACACACATAAGATGCTATTCTGTTACTTACAAAATCAACTATAGATTCCATATGCTCTATTTATTCCTTTTCGATAACAAACATAAAACAATCAAAAGTTCTAAGTATATCCATTCAGTCATTCTTTATCTCATATAGTCTGACTAACTGACTGATTGACTGATTTTAAAATACATCGATTATTATTATTATTATTTTGTGGCCATATGTATATCTCAAAATACTGACAGTTATTTCTTCATTCAGTAGTATTACAGTACTCCATGTGTATAGACTGTCACAATGACAATAGAGTTGACGATGATAAATGATGAAGAATTTATTGTACTTTAAACCTATTCTCTCGTTTTTTTTGTGTATACCAACGTACACACAAATATATCTGGTAGAAAATAGCCATCTGCTTAAAAATTATTCGTAATACGATTATTAATATTTGCTTATTTCCTTTAGTCAAAACGACATCCGTTATTTGTTGATTCAAATATCCTACCCTGGGTGTACTGGTGTGTTAGTGCACACAGAGCTGTCTTGTTCTATTTTCCCTTTTCTTTAGTAATCGTGTGGTTAATATATTTTTGTTAGATTTCCTGTATACATATTCATCTACATGTCTACAAGGTACGTAGGTGATCTTGTAAGATGTTAATCAAGTCAGCCACACGTCAATTTTTTTTTACTACAGTAATGATCGTGTGTATAAAAGGTTATGTAACAGGAGGGAAGAGGTTATTATCCATTTAGAATGTGATGCCAGATAAGTTCAGGGAAGTAAAAGCCTATTGACCAATACTCAATTATTATTGCGTCGTGGCACAGTTGTTAGGGTGCTCGCCGACCATACCATGATCTATGGCTCGACCCCTGGCCGACAAACACCTGATATCACTGGTCACCCTGCCAAATTTGGGCTATCGGTATCACATGCTGAAAATTCCATAGTTGTAGCAAAAATACGGTGAGGAATCAAGCTATAAATAAATAAATTCATTAGGGTTAAAAACTGATATTCATGCACTGTAGTGTATATCTGGATGACAGAGTTAATCTGGCACTGAACATCAATGATACTGAATGAAACACAACTTGCATTACGCCTAAAAAGTAGATAATTCATTCATACGACATCTCAATGTTATCATAACACCCTAAACTCTAGTTGACGCTGAATAAAATCCAACTAAATACTCCCTAACAAGTTCACATTTAAAAAGTACATCAAAGCGTTATTGATGCTTACCTGATGTGTAATTAAATTTTTTGTACAATCATGTAGAAATAAAATAGGGATTTGAAATAATTTTGTTACAGATGAATTAATTTTTAATTCTTCTTTAGCTAATCGAACGCATAAATCAAGTACACGAATTGGTAAGGGATTAGCTAACGCTATTGGTGTAGTTGTTGAACGATCCAAAAAGAAAATTGGTGAGAATAATACAGCCAAGCTTGTTTCATCCACTTCACAGTCTGGTTCATTTGCAACATTAGCCATTAATTCAAATAATGGTTTAATTATTTGATTAACTAAGCGTATTGGACATAGAAGAAATAGTAGACGGATAGCACGACGCTGGTGTACTTCATTCTCCTTAACACCGCTTATTAGTTGAATAAACAGTCGACGTAGTGGATTAGGTATTAATCCAATACCTTGTCTACGTAGAACACGAGCTAATAGACAAGCGATTACAGATGGATCATGTTCCAATAATATTTTGTTGATGTCATTCACTTCTGTTGAATTATTCACTTCATGCTGAACTGAATTATTCTTTAACAGAGATACTGAAGATGTTGTTGATGAGGTAAAGGTTGTTGAAGTGGCAACGGAAGATGAAAAGGAAGGAAATTGTGATGATAATGATGACGATGAAGATACTGAGGAGGTCGTTGTTGATTGAATAAAGCTTTTTCCAAGTCATTTACACTTGATTGATTTCCTGGGCGTCGAAATATAAACCGATGTTTGTCTAAATGCAGTAAAAATCAAAAAGAAAAGTAGTCAAATGAAAATTATTCGTAAATATAAAAACAATCATGTAATTTCATCTAAATACTGATAACACTCTCCAAGGTTGAATAATTCTACCCACTTAATTCCATATTAGTTTGTTTATTAGATGTATCACACAGTGAAGAAACAGTATTATTCACTGGATGACACAGTTTCGAACACAATTTCTATCTATTTCTATCCACTTACTCATATACCAGGCAGGCAGTAGGTAAGGAAGAGGTGACGATTGCGGAAATCTTTCTACTCAATGATGAAAAATAGGAGCTCAATAACAATACGAATAAAAGCTGTGCAACCAATGGCGGTTCAAACTGACGAGTTAATGAGTAGTAATTCAGTTGACTCTTAATGGCTGATATTACCAATGTCCAGCTGTAATGATATAGACCTAGTGTCAATGTAGTTTTACATGAGTTCACAGAATCCAGAAGTAATATTCAATTAAGTTGTCAGCAGCAAATCTCTTAAATCCTTATGAATTGAATAAGCCTGTCGAATAGCTAATTAATATTTTTGAGCTGTGTAGTTGTCTTTCTCTGCCTGTCTATTTCTAATACAGATTTGCATACTTGACTAAATTAATAACATCCCATTTTATAAATTAGTATATTAAGGCGGCATTCTTGTAGCATTAGAAATACAAAACATATCGATAGTACACCCACACACTTACAGTGTTTATTTGAGAGGAGAAAACGAAGAATAGTATTGACAACAATATACCAATGGTCGATCTCATTGTCTTTGGAGGCTATACGACAAGTTAGACAAAAAAAAGAGACGAAAATGTAAAGAAGAATATCAATACAGTACAAAAGTATACATCTTTATAACTGAATACATGATCTTAGTGATAATAACAGTAATAAAACTAATAAGAAGTTATCAGACTGATAATTTTTGTCCTGCTAAAGGTTAATTTCTCTTATCGATGTGAATAAAAGAGATATTAAAACTGTTTAAACTTACTGTTTTGCTTTTGTTCTCTCAATCGACTGAGCATTTTTCTTGGAGTAGATTGTGTTTTGCTTCCACTTGTATTACTGTGTTGGTGTTGCTGTTGTTGGTGTTGTTGTTGTTACATTCTAATCCACAACTGATATCTGTATTTTCTGATCCAGATGATGTTGACGAAGTCGAACAACAATGACTGTTAGATTGTTTAGAATCTTTAATCAGCAAATCACGTATTTGATCCAGTTCATCTGAGGTGAATACCAAAAAGCCTAAATAATTTGTAATTAAAGCTAGAAAAGATGATGGCCAACGTCTTCGAAATTCATACATATCTTGATTTGGTTCAGTGATTAAAATATCCAGTTGTGTAGAATAAGAATAATTTGAAGTAGTTAAAAATGAAGTTGTCGGCGAGAAAGGCGTATCATGGATTGATTCATTTGAAATATCATTTTGACGTCCTATCGATAAGGTTGTGCGTGATGTAACCAATGGAGCAGGTACTGGCGATACCTATAAGAATAGAAAAAAATATCGTTTACATGTGAAAAATTGCCGCAATCTGTGTTCTTATTCGTTTATAGTATATTGAGAAGTATTTGTAACATCTACATGAGCTTGTCTGTAATCTATAAGAGTTAACTGGTGCACATCCCTAATGTGTCAGCTCCCTTGTGCTTCATCCCTAGTTAGGATTTTCAACTAATTCCTCATAAATGATGCGTTTATTCCCTATTGAGCTTAAATATCGTCTGTTCCCATGCAAACATGCAGCAAATCACCCTATTTGTTAAATATTATAATTCCATCATACTTAACAACTAAACAACCGAAATTTTATAAAAATAAATATTGATTAGAAATCTGTGAAGCAGCTGAGCTTATACACAGACACACACACACACACATGCACAAACATATTTCCACTTGTGTGAATGAATAATGTAAGGGTGAAACAATGTGATATACAACAGTAAACTTAGTGAAGGAAAAAACAAAAGAAAAAAATATCGATATAGTGATTTTATCAACATGTCAAAATATCACAATGTAATAAGTCTGAATGTGTGTTCACACGTGCACTTGAAGGCTAAACACACTGATTTTTCCAAATAACGAATTCAATCCATTAACTACAATCTCAAAAAAATACAATGTATGTCTTCAGCTTAATTTTTGCAGTAGTAAAAATAGACACTAATTATCATTACTGATAGAATTAAACTGATAGTTGACCCAAAAGTTGTCACAAATGGAACAGGTGAATGCGAATAAAATAACTGATTGACCCTAAGAGACAGGATAATGCATTCAACTTCAACGAAATGAATGATGTGAGTGATATTTTTTGGACATCACGTGAACATATGGGTCCCTTGAAGAGATGTCTAGAACTGATGTCATTCATCTGATGGTGGTAACATCAAGTTGGAATAACTTAATTTATATATATATATATATAATTATAATAATGTTTAACACCTCTATAAAAAGACAATCCAGTGAGTTGTACTGCATGTGTTTACTGGAATCATGTTTTCCTTCATTTCTTCATAAAAGAAATATTCATTTATCATACTGTTTATACAATGAAGCTAGCACCAATAGATCCACTTCATTGACTTTTGGCTAATAACTCATGGATTCGAATGCTTTGCGAAACCCACTTGCAAAACACCAGTTTTGACTAATGCACAACAATCTTGTACACATCATATGAAACATACGATAGATATGTATGCCAAATAATTTGTCAACGAATGTTCATTTCAGTATGATGCTAAGCAGACGGCGGATCATTAGTCTTCTGGAAAATAAACTATCTGTTCACCAATAAGTGTATGACAACATTATGCGTTTGCTTGTAATTACCAACCAATTAAATAAGCGACATGTTAACTATTCGTCATTCAACTGGACACAGATATGTAGTTACTTAGTTAACACGCTGACACTTTATTGCCCGATAAAATCCCACAAATTAATGTCTACAGTTGGTTCAATTAAGAACGAATATCATCTGTTCTGTTTAGTCTCTACTATTATTATTAATTATGCAAATTATTATAATTATTAATACTAGGATTACTCGGTTCATTAATTGAATAATCATCTTATTGACTAGTCAGCTTAATAGACAAGAAAAACCCTTTGACTTAACATGCACTGAATTAATGCCATAAACAGAAACAGATTGATCAGCTGTTTATTTATTCTTTTTTTTAAATTTTAGTATCTAAGATTTACACATCGGAGAAATACACCGTAAACAATCATGATAGAAACACAGTTCATCGAAATATTATAAATATCGACTCATTTCGAATTCATCTAGTAACAAACAGACACAGTCTAGCCTGGAGGATACTTCTGATTACTCAGTGAAGACACTTTGAATAGATAAATAATGAATGAATCAACTAAATCAAGCCAGTCGGAACAATCAGACAGTCAAGTAAACAGACTAGTATAAATGTGTTAGTAGATTAGATGGGACAGTGCACGAAAATTACGTAATAGATTGACAACTTAATTGATGGTCATCAAATGACAGATTTATTTGTATTTACAACAAAAACACAGTTACCAAGACATCAAACATATGTCCGTGCATAAATGTTACTGCTTATATTGGAAACAAATGTCAGTTTATTTCCGTATGATTCCTACGCTTAATAATCAATTCTTCTATTCCTATTTGTGACATTATTAGTTACAATAGTAAATGAAGACACAATACAAACACTAGGCTGTATTAGAATTTAAGATAAGTGAGGATAACGGGTAAAAGACATGACGAATACACCAAACTAAGGAACCAAATAAAACATATTACCGTTCAGCCTACTAGTCTTCTACATTCTTCTATACGTATTAGTGAAATAAAATTGCCAAGACTGTATATTAGCGTAGTTACATATATAAACTATGAGAAATGATTTATATTTTAGGATGGAGAGTATTCCGTTTCCGCTTAGTAAGGACACCTGGTGATTCTAGCAGTCCTTATGATTCTTTGATATTCCTTTACGTTACCAGTGGAACACAGGCCTTCAAGCTGCAGCTTTGGAGATTCGGTAGCATTGGTATTTTATTTTCACGGGATGGGGTTGCCAGCCTCATGCCCAACCTTCCCTCTTTATCAGTCTTATTTCTGGATTGGCGAGGTAAAGGAGTGCGTCGTTTGAGGATAGAACCCCGAACCAACTGTGTGGTTGGCGAGCATTCTACGGCTACCGACACACCTTATCATTTAGCGTCATCGATATAACATAAGAGCCCAATGAAAACCAAATAATCTCTACAGCTAAGGGCTTAAATAAACTGGTGTCTAAGTCTCTGCAGTAGAACTGCTGTTCAGATTCAGCCAGTGTAAACCTTTATGACTAACCATAATGGTCAAACAAAGACTAACTGGTATAAATCTTACGAAAGTGTTGTGTTCACGTCATTTTCACCTGTTCAAACAATCCTGATTGCTTCAATTACAAGGAAAATCAATAAGTTCATAGACCAAATAATTTAAAAAATTAACTGATCAATTAACTCACCCTTAATTGTGATGAACAGCTGCTAAACTTCCAATTAAATTTGTGATTAGATTTCATTGTTTTATTTATATCACCAAATGATCTACTCCGTCGGGCAATACGATTTCGACATGGTGCAAAAACATTTAGTAATTTTGCTAATTTTTGTCCTGATGAACTTCTACGTTGTGATTGATGCTGTTTGTCTGAGTAGGTTTCATCAGCTGATAATTGAAGAGATTCAATGGATAAGGAGGAGGATTTTGTATCATGTGTACTTTCAGTTGACAATTTTTCGACACTTGTCGCTCTACTTAAGTATCCAGAGTCAGTATCGTCTGATTTATCAACATGATTAATTGTCATTTTTTGTTGCTGTTTAAATTTTTTTTTCGAATGTCCAGACATAACTCCTATACGTGGACTCCGCATTAACTCGGAGCAAAGAGTCATCAAAAATAACACTAAACCGTATGATTGATTCTACTAACTCAATTGCTTACTATATATTTGCTTTAAGTCACAAATTTTAACCAATGAGATTTAAGTCCGTTTTCATACGCTAATACGTGTTAACCAATCAAAATTTTGTATTTAAGGGGGGATTTTTGTATTATTTGTATGGATTACTGAATGACATGTGATTGAGATTTTTTTTGGTGGATATCAGTGTGAAAAAATGAAACAGATCACAAAGTAGTAGATTTATAATTTAGATCGTATTTAGGTGTGAGGTACATAATATACTAATTCATCCATAGGTTCGTTTAGTCTATTTCATATTCGACATTTGGATCCAAAATAATTTCATTCAATTAGAAGTAGAAGTCTAGACGTTTGGCACACGTTGATTGACTAATATCATTAGTGAAATCCTCCGATAACCTACTGACATGGTAATACGGTAACAGTGATGGAGTAGATACTCCTTCGTAAACCTAACCATAAAAATCAGAATTCTGAATTTCTAATGACAAACAAGGATTTACAAGCGAAAAAGAGATAATTTATTCAGACTTGTGATTTTCCGTTAATATTTCTAAGTTAAGTGGGTCGTTTGAAAGAATGCTAAGATTATTAACTTGAAGGGATGAATACAGGCTTCAATTTTTTGTGGCAACACAACCTATTGAGAAGCAGACAAATTTAGGTCATGGATCCCAAACAGTATGAAATGTATATGCTGAATTACACCATGTAAAAATGGTAAATTTTCCCTAAAATATCTAGAGAGAATAAAATATTCTGAACAGCACTTAATCAGTAACGGTCGTGCATGTGTTGCTTGTTTACTTACTGTAACAGATACTGACTGTATGAGGCAGTAACACAATGAAGACGATTCAGTCCTACCATACACTGACAAAGGACATATTACTGAGCATAAACAAGGAATCCTTTTTCTGGAAAATTGTAACACATTGTCACACTGTAAGAAGCAGTTAATAAAATAGAGAAAAAAGACCAACTGAAATTATGTTTTATGGAAGCTGATCCCACCTTTAATTACCTTTCATTTTTACCATTTTTATGCCGATAAGTTAAGTAGTTATGACTGATGAAAAATAGAAGAGTTAATGCAATCTCTATCTGTATAGATTATTTTCACTTTGTCCGATAACCCTCAACATTTCTCATTCTCCTCTCACTTCTCTCCCCTTTTTTTCTTCCTAAGACAGAATCCCCTTTATGTTGTAGACAGCTTTAAACAGTGTGCATTTGCAAAGTTGTAGCAAATTCTTAAATAGAAAAGAATGGTGTTATATAATTTCCTTTTCGATAAACTAATAGGAAATTTCCTACTGGCTTCCATTTATCCACTGAAAGTGAAATGTTTCATTTGCATTAGTTCTTATACTCCACATACAGTTAATACCACAGCATAAGTATAGAGCGAAATCGAAAGTAGACTTAAAGCTTAACCTTAACAATGGAAAGGTAGATGTATCGATTGAAGCGATGAATGATCATTAAAAATACAAGTGAAATAAACAAATCTGAAATCGAAATCTAAGTCTCCTCCAAAAAAACGGGTAATTTACCACATAGGTCTACATTATTTTGATTGTGTTTCCACTCAACAGCATCAAACAGCATACTATGATATCAACAGAAAAATAATTAGACAATCCATACCTTCCTGTACTACTTTATTCACCTGTCCGAAACTTCATGAAACTCCTCAGTGCATTGTCTTAGTCACACGTTTGGATAATTACTTTCGATAATTCTCAATTGATTTCATCAAAAAGTGGTCTTCTAACAATCACTTGTTCAGCCCTCGCTACCCGATGAATTTTAGTTTGACATTCCGAATTTACACGATTTAACGGCCCTCCTTAAAATCAAATTAATATATAGTATTGTTTCAAATATAATATTTGAGATTATGTCATACAGGTGTAATGAAACGGTACATAGATACCTTTATACAACTTCAAAGGTTTGGTTTCGTCATGAAGCAACATCATCTATAGAATTAATAAAAAAAAACTACTGAGCCTTTGGGATCTATTTCATCTCAATTGGATATCTATGAACCTAGGAGGAATCCAGATTAGAACTGTGAAATGACTAAGTGATGAAGAAATCTTTCAGTCTATCTGTGTTAGAATTCGATGGCCATTTTTTAAGAATTCATAATGTAGGTTGAAGGCCGTCTAGTGTAGTCACTGTCTGATTGTGCTTACATTCAGTCTCACGAACTCCACTGATTGTTATTTAGTTCGGAAACTTCAAAACATACATGTCCAAGCTAATTATCAATGCTCATTGAGGGTCATTTAGAATCTCTGTCGCCACAGTATTCGAACTCGTGGCTTCCAAATTCATAGACCAGGATTCTACTACCTAAACTACAAGTTTTAACTTCACAACCTAGTGGCAGTATTCTGTCACAGAAGGCTGCTTCGGATAGTCTGACCATGAATCTTAATTGTTAGGTAAACAAGGATTTGACTGACTGGAAGGGTAGTTTCATCAAAAAGTCCTTGGTTCAGCACCTCAGTTAATAAGTAGTAGGAGTTTATTATGTCTGTTATTGTTGTTATCATTGTAATGAAAGCATGTCTAATATCTTTATAAATGATATAAGCGTTAAGCTAAAGAGTGAGACGTCAGTTGCAGATCTTCACCTTTAATGTCTCATAGAGTGAAATAATATGATGAATGCTCACATAAATAGTATTCATGGGAAAGTTATTCTCTTCCCACTTGAACTCCAAAATGCTAATAAATATGACCTTATTACAATAAAATACTGATGTACTTTTAAACGCCTTCATGATTAATCAGTTCATTTATCATACTGATCTCTAATTTTTTTTCAAATTATTTTAAGTTAGCAAGAACTACAGTTTTAGCAGAATAAAATGGTACCATCTTTTATTTCGTTGCCTTCTCGTCAGCTGCTTACATGTCAAAGACATTACTAAATATATCTACAACAACAATTTTAACATACTTGCACAAATTTATACATGTATATATTTTTAGTGTATGAGTATATTGATCGATTGATTTCTGTTTAAACTTAACTCTGTGCAAGTATGTTAAAATTGTTGTTGTAGATATATTTAATAATGTCTTTGCCATGTAAGCAGATGACGAGAAGGCAACGAAATAAAAGATGGTACCATTTTATTCTGCTAAAACTGTAGTTCTTGCTTTGTTCAAATTCATTAAGGGAATAAATGTATGAAATATTTTAAGTTAATTTTTTAAAAATTAGTTTGTAGTTATTTTTATCGATTTCAGGATAGATTTCATCACCGACCAATATCAGTTAGAGAACTTTTAAAAATCGTGTAATACTTCACAGCTGCTCTTCGTTTTAGTATGAAACTCTTTGACTGGTGTCTTGTACTACTTGATTTTCAATGATTCACGAAACGATGCTTGTTCATGGTGAAATCTTATTAGACAATTCACTTTCTGCAGATGTAAGTACTACTATGAGGGTCAGCTAGCCGCGGCTGGTGAATTAATTATTCATCACTATAAGTGTAGAGAATTTAAAGAACAGTATTCAGCAGTTATCATCTACATATTTTAAAATAAACCTCTTATATTAGATTACTAGTTAACTGTGGGTAGTTACAATCAAATCAACAACCATTGATAATTTCATTGGACAATTGAGTTATAAGAACTTATTACTGAAACTAGATAACGAAGGAAGGATATTACTGGGTGTATTGACTGAAGCGAGAATTCACCAGCCATTGAATGTAAGCACTCGCCTCGTCTGATGAAGGTGCAGATGTTGACCCTTCTTGGCATGATAGGTATGCCCTGCTAGACAGATTCATAATAGGACAAAACGGAACTGTAATTTTTAGCGGCTCTGTAACCACCATGAGTTTGTAACGAGATCTACATTGAAAAGATCTTACGCCTATGCAAAACTATTCCCCATTAAAATTAAATTATTCTCGCATAATTTTTATTATTTATGCGTGTATATATGTCAGTGGGGCGGGGGGTAGAAAGAGAGAGAGAGAAAGAAAGGGGAGTTAGTTCTTCTCATCAGTGGATATTTTTTTTTTTTTTTTTTTACCATACAGATTTTGATGGGAATGACAAAATTCTTTAGAGTGGTAGGTGTAACAGATTTCACTGTGATTGTCGTTTGATGATATAAAGCAGCACACTGGTAAGCCTCTCAAGTGTAATACAGTAAATTCTGTTCTGCTCATAAACGCATGTGTTTCCTTACTTGTTCAACAATAGGCTCGCTGTTTAAACTCAGGATTTCTTAACGAGATATTGTGAAAACATATTGTTTCTCGAAAGATTTTGAGACAGGCTGGTAGTGGAAAAAATTCTAGTTAGAATGGAGTAACTGTATAATTTGAAAATTCAAAACGAAACAATCTAGTCCAGATTCTTGGAGGCAACATTAGACTGCTTGAGATATTATGCTATTCTCTAGGAGACTACATAGATTTTTTAATTAATAACGACTAACATTTTATTACACTATCATTGATATAAGAATAAAACTTGTGCACTGTGGTAGAGTGAAATTCCATTATGGGTAAATTTTGTTTTGATAAAGTCTCACACCGTTGTACAGTAATGTTTACTGATGACGTTTCGAGCACAATTTATTGCTCATAATCATATCAAGGTGATTGATATGATTATGAGCAATAAATTGTGCTCGAAACGTCATCAGTAAACATTACTGTATAACGCTGTGAGATTTTATTACACTAGCCTCAAATGCCTGCATATCTATTAAAATTTGTAGAACATGGTAGAACGTATGTACTTTTCTACCACTATACATGTTGATTTTTATAAATAAAGAGAAGCTGAATATCTTACAGCGGCAGTGAATATTTCAGCAGCCGAATTGTTTTCTACCAGCTGGCTGTATGAAACACGACTGATCAGTCGACTACAACTCAAACAACTTTTATCCGTCAACAGAGGTGATCTGTCCAATGCATCTCACATACCTCATA